CTTTTTTTTCTCTTCTCTACACTACAGTACTGCAGACTACAGTACTGAGTACAGACCACACCTGTCCTGTCCCACCTCCTAGGCCTAGAACAGAGACAACATCACCATGTAGTTACACTACTACACATAATCAGCCTACGCTCATAATAAGCACGCGTAGACCACCTACTATTGCCCCTGGTCGTATTCGCATTCCACATCAACTCATCTATAACTTGAAGCTGCAGAGTCGCTGAGTGGGTTACAGAATGATAGCCTGATATGCCGCGGAGCTAGTACGTACACGATTCCTCAATCAGCATTGATAATGACACCAGCTACCACAGCCCGGGCGTATTTCACCAAATCCTTGGAATACACAGCAACACGTAAGCTATGAAATAAGACTTGATATTTGTCCGATACATTAAATACATAACAAGTATCGCCTCACTTGATTTAATAGAAACGCGCAGACAAACGTAAACACCAAAAGACATTTTCTCCATAACTTTCCCGTTTTCCTACTGTTCACTTGTCATGGGGGAAAGCGGAGCGATTGATCCCGAACGGCCACCTCGTGTCTACGCGCCGCTAGTAAAACATCATTCAAGTCAAAATATGCGACGCGAACAAGTGAAGATGTGGCTAAATTAGTATGATTTAACACACCCAACATATTAGTTTAGTTGACATCGATTTAAAAGTAGTGAGCACATATTCTTAAGTTTGTTGACATTCGTAAAATTGTCTACCTAGGATTTCTTATTAGTTTTAAGACGCACTTCTATCTCCGAATTTCCTTAGTGCAGGTAGGCCCTAATAGGTAATGTCCAAGGTATAGCGGCGCACTATAATAGACATTATGTAGCTTAATATGTAGAATTCAGGTGCGAATTTCAAGCAATTCCTAATAGGATAACAAATTGTTGATTTTTCGAAAAGTGTGAGCGGGAGTAAAGCCGCCATTACACACACACACCACACGACACACACACACCACCCACACACACACACACACACACACACACACACACACACACACACGCGCGCGCGCGCGCGCACGCACGCACGCACGCACGCAAGCACGCACGCACGCACGCATGCACGCGCGCGCGCACGCGTCCTCGCTACTTCAATGTGGCGGCACTGCATGCTCTGTCACAGGTCCCTTGCTATACTAATGTACATGGATAGGGCACGGACACGTCGGCGACGTGTCGCCCAAAGGAAATGATGTAGGGCTGACGTTAAGCGTTTAAAAAAGAAGCGTGGCATGCCTGGAAAAGGTGTGCATCGCAAAATGCACCCTGGCTACTTTAATGTAGTGGCACTGCTCTGTCGCGTGTCCCTGGCTATACCAATGCACACGGACAGGTGACACGCGAGCTTAACAATTCGATCTAGGTACGGGTTGCGTGAGAGATGTGGGCCCAGACCTCACTCAGTCTGCCGTATCCGCAGAAATGACTCTAAGAAATGCAAGTGCTTGGGAAAAGATCGTGGTCGTATATTTTTGAGAAAACAGATATACTAGCGCAGTTACGCACACCATTTATAGGGTATATTAAAGAACAAATATGGGGATTGATCAACTGAGCATAATTACATCAAGAGCCCATTAACCCCATGGGGTTAATGGGCTCTTGATTACATACAGGCCCGTAGATAATATGCGGCGTTAATTTCAAACAATTGCACTACTTTTGCGTATTTCCAAGCTATTCAGACAAGTTCCAGTGCAAATTGGATTCTTCGATACACCTCATTCTGCATAGATTCCCTGTGCCTCTGCTATTTACAAAATTATTACACCACCGTGCACATATTCGCACGCCAGACTACCATTTCCCCAGGAACGATCGCATGCTGAGCTAGGGTAAGCGTTTCCAAACGCAAATATGTTCATGGTGATGCTAATGATCTTAGTGCACTATAGAACAAGCGTGCATACAATTGAGCTCATGAGTAAGTGGAAAATATTGTCTCTGTGTGTTTGCGTGCGTTTGTGTGTGCGTGCGCGTGTGGGTGTGTGAGTGCATTTGCGCGTGTTTGCTTGCGTGCGCGCGTGTGCGGAATTTAGTAATTAATATTTTACGCCTTATTTGTTGCAGGTAATGAGATAACGTGTCGAGGAGACGATATTGAGATGGAATTATTTTTCAGCGACCCATTTTACGGTAACGTGTACGCCGATCGCTCTCATCATTCTGACGCTAATTGTCGGATTTGCAGGGAAACCGGATCGAGATTCGTCGTGTTGAAATTTGAACATTGGGGCTGTGGTATCGTGGAAAACACATTCGTATGTATTTTCTTATGTAAATATCTTATATCCAGTTTTCGATATATGTGCATCAGATCTTGATTGATAGCCCCAATTGTGAGTTTGGAGCAATGAAACAGCGATCCTCGGCGGGATCGGAGAAATTCCACGTTTTGCATAGGCAAGTTGCTCTGACCTAACCCACACCAAAACCACCAAAATCGTCGGTGTGGGCATTGGTCAGAGGAATCTCGGACTAGATGCATACTAACATATACACTGACATCTGTCATAACGTGGCTAGTAATGTATTATTTAGGTAATAATATATTACACTTAGATTTCTACCTTTAAACAATACTATATATGAAATTGATTACCATGTCGTCAGTGTCATCGTTACCACCCCCTTTCATCACGTTTTCTGGAGAGACGGACATATCATGGTCATCAAATAGTCAAATGCGTACTGGCGTTTACTCTCTTCTCTACACTACAGTACTGCAGACTACAGTACTGAGTACAGACCACACCTGTCCTGTCCTCACCTCCTAGTCCTAGAACAGAGACAACATCACCATGTAGTTACACTACTACACATATCAGTACGTCATAATAAGCACGCGTAGACACGTACTATTGCGCTGTGTATTCGCATTCACATCAACTCATTATAACTTGAAACTGCAGAGTGCTGAGTGGGTTACAGAATGATCAGCTGATATGGGCGACTAGTAGTAGTACGATTCCTCCAAGTCAGCATGATAATGTACACCAGCTACCACAGCCCGGGCTTATTTCCACCAAATCCTTGGAATACAAGCACACGAACTATAAAAAAAGACTTGATATTTGTTCCGATACATTAAATACATAACAATGATATCGCTCACTTGATTTAATAGAAACGCCAGACAAACGCTAAACACCAAAACATTTTCTCCATAACTTTCCGTTCCTACTGTTCACTTGTCATCGGGGGGAAGCGGAGCGATTGATCCCTAACGCCACCTCGTGTTACGCGCCGTAGTAAACATCATGTTCAAGTCAAAATATGCGAGCGAACGAAGTGAAGAATGTGCTTATAATTAGTATGATTTGACACACCCAATATTAGTTAGTTGACATCGATTTAAAGTAGTGAGCACATATTCTTAAGTTTGTTGACATTGTAAAATGTCTACCTTAGTATTTCTTATGAGTTTTTAAGACGCACTTATCTTCCCGAATTTCCTTATGCAGGTAGGCCCTAATAGGTAATGTCCAAGGTATAGGGCACTATAATAGACATTATGTAGCATTAGTATGTAGAATTCAGGTGCGAATTCAGGAATTCTTAATAGGGATAACAAATTGTTGATTTTTCGAAAAGTGTAGGGGCGGGAGTAAAGCCGCCATTCACACACACACACACTATATATATATATAATATACTATATCATATATATATATATATATCATATATATATATATTAGATTCATAAGAAATACATACGAAGTGTGTTCCACTGAACCACAGCCCATATGTTCAAAATTCAACACGACGAATCTCGATCCGCGGTTTCCGCTGGCAAACCGAGCAATTAGCTCACGAATGGATGAGAGCGATGCGGCGTACACGTACCGTAAAATGGGTCGCTGAAAAATAATTCTATCTGCAATATCGTCTCCGTCGAACACGTTATCTCATTACCTGCAATAAATAAGGCAGAAAAATCATTAAATTACTAAATCCGCACACGCGCGCACGCCAAGCAAACACGCGCGGAAACTCACTCACACACCCACTACCGCGCACGCACACACCAAACCACGCAAAACACCGAGACAATATTTTGCGCACTTACTCATGAGCTCAATTGTATTGCAGCGCTTTGTTCTATAAGTGCACTAAGATCATTAGCATCACACGAATACATATGTAAGCAAAGGCCGTCAGTCGGTCTCTACGTCGCCTACGCCAGGTTCCTCGGTCCGGCTAGAGAGGGTTTTAACTCCGACGGTAGTGCTGACAGTTACAGGCGACAGATAACAAGAACACGCAGGGATTGTAATCTGCACGCCGACCGTATTATAATTAATAAACACACACTACCTAATTCGCTATGCGCGCTACATAGATGTTAGCATGGCAGCGCCGCGTCTTCACGTATCAATTTATATATATGTGGTATATCTATAGAGAGCCGACTCGTGATGTCGCCTCTGCGCGCGCGTACTCGCGTACACAACGTAAATGGTTAACCCTTAAGTGTGTAAGATCGGTACGCCGAGATCACTCGGCGGTGGTGCGGTCTTCGGGAGATAAGAAACGTAGGAGAGGGGATTAGATTGTTAGAAAGATTGGAAACGCCAGAGGGAATGGAGAAGAGAACCTACGTGGTTGACAATGGGACGACCCGGAGTAGTCTGTCGCGACAACCAAACGTCACGCTGTTCTTTCGCGACGGCGCCCTAAAAAGCCTAGGACCGGTAAAGCCATAAAAGAACCGCTCTACCGATGGCAAATCGTGTGTTTTCGATCTTACGGAATCAACAGATTTGGGCCGACGTCACCGCGCAAGAGTTGTTTAGCCAAAGTCAGACTTGGTTTTTGGGAGTTGGCAGCGTCTATACTACACTTCCCCCGGGCCCCCAAACCGGGCTGAGCAATAGTGGCGAGGCAACGGTTGCAGAGCTATCACAAACGCCAAAAAGAAAACAGTGAGTGGTGCAAACGTAACGTTAGCGGAGCGAGAAACTGGCCGCCGAGAGCGGTGGACACGCCGACGAGACGGTCGTGCGCAAAAACGAATACGCGACGCAATACCGATAATCAAATCATAATAAAAGGAAAAACGCGTGAACATACGTTTTCTGAAATTTCACTCGTTAAAAATACCCGTATATATATATATTTTTTTTGTTTAAAAGGTATAAATACAGCGCACAAAAAAAAATTGCGCGTGAAAACGAGAGCGCATAAAACACACAATTTGAATTTTAAAAATAGAAAATAAAAACAATTTTAAATTGAATAGTGAAGCGAGGCCGCGCCGGTGAGGCGCGACACGGGTGCATAATGTCACGGCCGATGTACATATGCGTCGGGAACAGCTCCGGGGGATGCACCAATCTCCGTCGGGAAGCCGCGGCCCAAAGGTGGGCTCGGTCGTCGCCGGGGAGGCTCCAGTGGCTCTCGTCGAGGAGGTCCGTCCCCCGAGGTTCCTTTCCCGTGGGGCGGACGTCCCATCCAGTCCAGTCCGTCCCTCGTCGTTGTCGCCGGTCGTCGTCGTAGTCGCTTTCGCTGGTCGGTGGCATCCCATCAGCCCATCCCAACCCATTCCCCGTGGAGAAGGTGCGGGCTTGGACCGAAGCTACTCCCGATCCCAGTTGGAGGCGGTGGTCGGGTAGGATGAGGGTGCCCTCGTGGAGGTGGCGACGGAACGACCTGCCGGGTTCGTAACGACGGCGCTTGCAGGTGTCGGACGGGTCGTAAGCGGCCGACGAACCCTGTTGGCGGCGTGGTCGCTGCGCGGCGACGGGATGCGCTGGAGGTGCGGGCGGCGCGGTCGGCGGCGCGGTCGTGCGGGCGGCTGCGCGGTGTCCTCATGGCGCGGGGCATTGCGGCCACGGCACTGTACGGCATGCACGGCGACAGGGCACGGAATTTGCCCAATGCCCATGAATGCTAGTGAGACGGTGCTTCACAACGGACAAATAAAATAGAAAGGAATAGCGGGCGTCACACGAGGGCGTGAAGCGCCGATTTTAAACGCGGTATGCGTGGTTCGACTAGGGTATATACGTGCGGTAATATATATATTTATACCTATATAGCGGCATACCACCACCGCAACTACAGGAGCTACGAGACGCGCGAGACTCCTAGGTCTCCGTGACACGAGCGTGCGACGCGTACTATAGATACGGTATGCTCTAAAACTATAGTAATTTTAGTGGTGACGGCGAAGCGTCACCATCTCGACGCCTTCGGCCGCATCGCCTGTTTGCAAGGGATGGGCCTTAGGTGGCTGTCCAGGTTTTGCGTGTCCGGCGACGTGGGGCGCGGGAGGTGATGGAGTCAGAACGATCAGAAAGGAACGGAAGGGGAAGAACACATTTTGACGTATAGCTTAGCGTCTACAAAAACGAATGGCGTAGTGGCGCAGTACTATATCCACTGACGGGCGATCAGAAAGTCATGGGGCGCCGATGAACTAGCGCGAATCATGCTAGCGCTGAAAGGCGGCTATTTGGCGGCGCATGGCGCCTGAAGCGGCCGTCGAGCAGCGAGTGGTTTTACACGTTGTGGGCCGATATGGTTATGAGGGGCTCGTGCTTGTGGGGGCTGCGGGATGTGTGCAGGGGCGCCAGGAAGTGCGATGACTGCAGCATAATCGGCCATGTACGTCGTTGTGCGGTGCATCAGGCAGCGCACATCAATTCTCAGTGTCCGCGCAAACGTTTCAGTGGATACACGGGCTCTTAGATCGCCGTAGTAATGCCTCGTAGGTGGCTGCTTCCTGGCTGGGACAAACTGGCGCGTATTTCCTGATGCAGAGAAATCCGTCATCCGGTGGGTGCCGGCAGGAGTGCGTTGTTTTCGCGAGACGTGCCAACGGAAGAGATCGGAAGCGCTGAAATCAACTGTCACTGTCTACTATCACTGGTAGATCGCCCGCCTGGCGCTGTTGGCGGATCGTCCACTGTCAGACGCTCGACTGGCGCTGTGGGCGTTGGTCCGTCACTGCAGACGCGCGATGGCGCTGTGGCCGGGCTCGTCACTGTCAGCAATCTGAGCTGCCGAGTGCGTTCGAGATCTGTAGGTGCACGAGGGCGCATGTGGATGAGCGAGGCGTAGCTTGCCGGCGGTGGGGCTGTCGTCTCAGTGGGAGCAGCGCAAGGCTCGCGCGCACGTTGTCGGGCACTGGCCGGGTGTCCCAGCGTAGCCGAGGATGCGGGCTGGCTCGGAGGTTGTCGATGTATCGCTGTCACGTGACGGCTTGTTGGACTCGTGTTGAATGAGGCACTTCTTTCGGGGAGCAGCTATTTTGATGATAGTGTAAACGGGTTTCCAGGCGATGCGAGTTTTGCGTGTGGTGTCTGGCTGAAGCTACAGGGTCGTGGGTAGTAGACGGAGTCTCCATACCTCAAAAGCGGGCTGGTCGCTCGCGCTGGCGATCAATAGCGACGTTTGTTTGGTGCACGATGTCACGTGTTGCGTCACGATGTGTACGTACGCCTGATGGAATCGCTCCACGAGTTTTGTTGAATGGGGTCGTCGTCAATACGCGTCTTTCTTCGTGGCAAGAGGCAAGGTTGTCAAGGCGAAGGCCGTCGGCTGTCTGCATACAGGAGGTAGAAGGGTGGTGTTGCGATGTCCCGTGATACTTGCACGATAGGCCGAGAGCAGAGGTGGGAGCAACAAGTCCAGTTTGTTTTGCTGCCCCGATTAACGACCGTGGCGATCATCGAATTAAACGCGGTGAAAGCGTTCACCAGAAGCTGCGTTTTTGCGATGCGGGATGGTAGGGCGCAGCGGACTGTCCTTTATGCGGCGAAGTGATGGGTGCGGGCCGTCATAACCTGGTTGCAATAAACTCAAGTGCCGTTGTCGAGAAGTAAGAAGCGCTTTGGGGCAAGAATGTCGTCGGATGATGTGGTTGACAAGAGGTCAGGGCGACAGTCTGGGCGGAACTTTGTCTCGCCACCGAGAAAACACTTCTGGCCAACTCGTATAAGTGGGCAGTGGAAATGAATAACGGTAAGCGATGGCCTCTCGGCTGTAAGAGGGAATTGGCAAGTATCGACTGCCACGACGCTGGAAACGGCGGCGTCTGGATTTGGCGCAGCTCCCAGCGGAGATGGTATGGTGTGGAGCTTGACCAGAGTTACATGCAACACAATCACGGACAAACGCACGAATGGTGGCATACATTCCTGACTCAAGTAGTAGTGACTACGAATGAGCGCATAGGTCT